AAAAATGTTAAACAGTTTTAACAGTTAACAATAATTTAAAATCCTTCAATAATTAACACTCATATTTTTTTCTTTCAAATAACAGCAAATAGCTGTAAAGCATTTTATTTCTTCTGGCAATTTATATTCTGTACAATTTTATGGTCACATGTTGTGAAAGAGGGGCTACAAGGTGGCTCGGTGGTTGGCACTGTTGCCTCACTACCAGAAGATTCGTGTCCTGGTTAGGATGCCCGGGATTTTTCTGTGTAGAGTTTGCATGTTCTCCCCGTGCAGCAGGGTTCTCTCCAGGTTCTCCGGCTTCCTCCCACACAGTCCAAAAACATGTTGAAGTTAATTGGTGATTCTAAATTATTAAAAACCCAAAGATGTAATTGTCTTCACAAATGTAAATGTACGTCATTAAACATTAAAAATGGACATAATAAAGATATCTGATTTGTGAAGAATTTGCTGTATTTTAATGAGATGTTTTTTTCCTTTTTTAAATTTTTTTACATTAAACTTAGCTGAGATGGTTTGGGATGAGTTGGAGCGCAAAGTAAGAACAGAATCTGTTGTCAAAGCTGAAGGAGGCAACTGAACAATCCAAAATGTGTTATCCTTTATCCTAATACACTGTAGAAAACAGCACAAAATAAATAATAACCCTTAAATGAGAAAGTTTGTCCAAAGAGAAATTAGAAGAGAAAGAGGCCGAAACACGCTGCATATGTATTTGGTTTTATTGAAGAAGAGAGATATGAATAGGTAGCCTGTTTTAAGGCACCTAAAAATGTACAACAAAAGCTGGACCATTTATTTATTCAGAATACAAAAATACACATCTCAGTGACTCCAAATCGTAATAAATAGTTAACCATGCATTCTAACCATAAAAAGGCACAGAAAACAGTCACTTAGTAGTCATAAAAATTATCAACTACTTTACCAAAAATCATCCAGATAGTAATACAGGTGACAACTGTAACATTATATTCCAAATGTGAAAACACAATACACGTCATATCATTTAACCTTAGGCAATAAATATGCAAATATTGTCTATACCTACAAGTATATTCTTAAAAATTAAAACTGTGCCATTGTAAACATAATGTAAACAAATGAAACTCACATTTCCCCCATCGCTTTAACAAACCATGTCGATGTGTTAATCTGTCTTTTTAGAGATCCTTGCATGGGTTTCGTTGGTTTTTGAAAACCAGGCAGTTTGCAGCATTATTTACAGACCTAAAAGAAACAAACAAACAAAAAAAAAAAAAAGTGGCAACTTCCACTTGGTATTGAAAGGTTAAGCACTCTCCTGCCTGGAGTCTCGAGCCAGAAAAGAAAAACCCTCGATATCTATAGAAACCGGCAGACACTTTGGACACACAGACGCCGATAACGGACTCAGCTCAGGATTCGGTTTGATGGAAACTTGATGAGCTCTTCAGGAACAAGGCAGCAGAGAGCAGCACCGCTCCAGTTAAAGCACATACTAACAGAAAGGCTTCAATTAACCACTAAACCTAAGGCCAACTGTCATCAAACAGTTAAATCTGATCCACTAAATGAAATAAAAAGGCAAATGATCTTCAGTCAGGCAGGCAGAGGGGAGATAAGTGAGACAGAATCTCTGACGTTTATAAAGTTTTTAGCGCCTGTCTTTGGATGCAGGATGAACAACAGCACCAACATGAGAGATTATATGAATTTGAAGAGTTTCTGCAGAACTACAGTATCCTGAACTGATTGTCAGTGAAAGATGATGCTGTTTAAGATGCGACTCAGGGACTGGACTCTGGTGGGACATTCGGGACAGTATATGGGCTGCAGCTGAACAGTGTTTTCATAAATACTTTCCGTCAGTTAAAAATGTCAAGAGGTGAAAGGAAAAAACAACAGTGGTGCGATGAGAAGAGAAGGCACTGAAGCACCTTTTTCTTTAAGCATTTAGAGAATGTATAATGCAGCTAGGACTGAACAGTTAAGAAAAAATCTAACTGTGATGTCTGGTTGTTTAAAAAAACAAGCAAAAAAAAAAAAATCTAAATAAAATGGTGAAAATAACATAAAATATCTGTTAAATAATGATTTTTGTAGCAGATTTAAATACAGTACAACTGTAATTTTACATTCACGCATTGTGAAAAGAATAAATCATTCATTGTAAAAATACAGATTTTTAAAAATGCGGATAATATACATATTTCTTGTGTTTTTTTTCAGTAAATTTGTAAATTAATATCTTTTTCTATGATTTTACTAGCTATTATCTATAACTGAAAAGAACTGGGAAAACAGTAGTTGAACCATTGTCCAACTGTTCATTTTTCAATATTTGTTAAATAACATTTTTTTTCACTTTAAATAGTAAAAAATAGTGTCATTTTATGGTCAAATGTTGCAAAAGAGTGAATTAATATTTGTAAAAATACAGATTTTTTAAGTTGACATTATTTACAGTTTTGGTCTGTTTTTTCTTTTCGTTTCTTTTCTATTCTCTTAAAACAAACCTGTAAATCACTACTTTTTTTCTACCATAGAGGAGAAAAGAAACCAGAAAATATTCACATTATTATGCAATTACAGAATTTGAACTTTAAAACAACTCTCAAGCCAATTATCAAAGTGAAAGTGGCAATTAGTTAAATACCAAACAACTAAGTGAATAATTGTTGCATCTCAATTTGAAGTGACTTCATTGTTCAGCCCTAGCTGCCACTTAGATGCATGCAGGCCATTTCAATCAGCAAGAAACCTTCACAACAAACAGTAGCCCACAGGGAATGTCAATAAAATGTTCCCTGAATGTTCTCTGATGAATCAGTTAACAGTAACCATCCGGGAATCTTTATACAATGTTTGGGAAATGTTCTCTGGACATTCTATGAAGATTCGATGAAAAGTAATCATCAGAAAACCTTTATGAACTGTTCAGGTAATGTTGCCTGGATGCTCCTTAAAGGTTCCTTGAAGGTTCCCAAACAGTACCCCTGAGGCATCCTTCAAGGAATATTTAGGGAATGATCCATTGACGTTCCCTGAAGCCTCCCAAACAGTACAACGCTCAGAAAATGTTCCCTGGATGTTCTTTGAAGGTTCAATGAACAGAAACCATCAGCTTCATGGGATGTTTGAGTAAAATTCCCAGGATGTTCCCTAAAGGTTCCCTGAGGTTCCAGAACAGTACTTTTCATGGACTGCTCTGGAAACATTCTCTGGACATTCCCTGAGCGTTCAGTAACTAGTAACCATCAAGGAACCTTCATGGAATAGTCAGGGAATAATCCGTGAAGGTTTCCAAAAAAGTAGAATGTACAGGGAACATTCTCAAAATGTTCTCTGGATGTTTAATGAACAGTAACCATCACGGAACCTTTCTGCAATGTTTAGGAATTGTTCCATGACAGTTCTCTGAAGGTTTAATGAACAGTAATCATCTGGGGACCTTTATGAAATGTTCAGAGAATGTTCCGTAGATGTTCCCTGAAGGTTCAATGAACAATAACAATCAAGAAATCGTCATAGAATGTTCAAGAAACATCCTCTGGACATTCTCTGCCAGTTCAGTGAATAGGTAACCTTCATGAAGTGTTCAAGGACCGTTCACTGAATGTAAGTTGAAAGTTCCCAAGCATTATCCATCAGGGAACCTTTACCCTTGTGTTCAGGTAATGTTTTCTGTATGCGTCATGAATAGCAATTAAGGAACCTTCATGGAATGTTTGGGAAACATTCAATAGACTGTAAGGGAACCTTCAGGGAAACCTCCATTGAGGTTCCCTGAGGTTTGGGAACATTAACTAGACATTTTCTGAAGATTTCACACAAACCATGAGGAAGGTTCTCTGAAGGTTCTCTGAAGGTTACCGTTTACTGGGTTTGTAGTTAAAAAAAGACTGTTCAGCTGCAGTCGAGGCCCTGATTCACTCACATTCTGTTTCTACTCTGGATACTTTAATGATTCCTGGTGAAAACTTGTGCGCCTTGTTAAACGGTAGCACTAAATACTCTGTATCAACATAATTAAAGGGAAAACATTGAAACAACACAGTAAAATTAGTTGGCAATGAAAAGCATACAGTTTGCTGATCAGGTACAATGTGCCACTGTTGTACTACACGCACACACACACACACACACACACACACACACACTGTGATACAAATCAACACAACAGTCATGTCTGCCCATTCTACACACTCGCCGACACAGTCCTACTTTAGTGTCTCATCCTGGAAGCACAGAGGAGCAAAAAACTACAAACTAGTGAACCGCTGGAAGAAATTTGGAGTCAGTAAGAAAATCTGTCTATGGGTCTAACTTTTTAAAATCCCCAAACGTCGAGGAGGAGAACATGTAGAAAAAAACACTCTTCCTTTTTTTTCCCCCCACTGAGAAACATCATGTCAGAAAGCTTCAGAGACAGTATCAAAACAAGAGATCAAATATTGCACCATCATTAGAATACAACAGCATTATCATGTACAAGAGATTAGAACCAAATCAACAATACACAACTGTTATGGTGTAATATACACAATCAAACGTGTGAGCTGTTGACAAAGCATGCCATGTCAGCAATCTACAAACGCATTAGACTACAACACTTAAAAACATTGTTTGCATACACTGGTATACTGTATATACAGTGCATATATATATTTATATATATACAAACTTAGCATCACATATAGAAATATACCCTGTAATGCCACCAGTCTTAAAAGAAACTAAAAGTAGTGTCCTATCAGCGTCTCACTCGTAATTTGAAGGAAAAAAAAGCTGCACTTGAGCGATGCTATGCAGGCTGCAGATCAACTGCTCTATTCCAAACTATTCTTGTTAGTGTTAAATACTGCGTTAAGTTGCCAAAAGTTAAAAAGTTGAGGTGAATTCTATGTAATGATATGAGGATTTGCACTTGCGTAAAGCAAGAAGTAAAAAGTGCCTTTTAAGTATTCCTTAAAAAAAACAAAACAAACAAAACTCAACAACCCTACAGTATATGTGGTTGGCGTCTTTCTTCTTGACTAATACTAAACTTTTTTCCCACCTTAAATGGAATTACGACCTAACATCTGCTGGCCTATTAAATAAAAAGTCATCGGATGCTTTCTTAGACATTCACTTTGGTACTGATTTTCACATCCACAGAGAACGCGTCCACTTAATAATTCCACACACCTCATCGACGGCTTTTTTTTCTACCAATAGAGCACATTTTACACTAAATGACCGAAAATATGGCACTTGACAGAAATCTTTGACACGTCATTATCATGCAAACGAAATAAATTAAAGCTAGAAAAAAAAAAACTTTTAGACCAAAAAAAGGATGCGATCAGTAGTAACAAATGGCATCGTAATACTTAAGTCATGTAAAACTTGTTCAAGTGTTATTCTGGACACAAATAAATCAAGACACTAATCATGCAATTAAACATATCTAAAGTTGAGCAAGCATAGCATGCGACAGTATCCACAGCTTCCAGATTATCACCTCAGTGGTGACCTTCTCTGTCTCTACTAAAATCCTGCTTTAATGCATGTGCAGCTGAACTGAAACCGAACCTCACACTCATGGAAGTCTTAAGTTTTGCTACTAGTTTGTTGTTATCAGTCAGCTGTCAACAGTGTGGTTATTTGCATACCTGATTATGTGCTATGAATGGTTATTAAATCAGAAATGGCTTTTCTTTCTCCCACCCTCCCACTTCCATCAGCTTTCTTGATCCATCATTTTGGCACCAAAGCACAAACACACAAATGCATCTTGTTCACAACATCGCAAAGGCTTTCTCAGCAGAGGGATAGTAACATCCAGCTCTCCTCGAACACCTATCTTCCTCCTTCACTGCCTGCGGTGCTCCTAAACGCTTCCACTCATGTAAAGGGGAGGGTTTGTTTCCCCTCTCCGGAAGCTTTTTTTTTTTTTTCTCCCGGGTTAGAGATCAACCATGGAGGCCTTTGCCAGGTCCTTAGTTCCCTGGAGAATTCTCTTCATATGACCCACTTTCGATATCCCCAGATCCTGAGAACAGACAGAAAAGACCATGATGTAAAAAAAAAAAAAACATGCAGAAAAATGTCTGCTGCACATCAGGCATCACAAACAAACATGGAAATATGCATCTTATGTGGAAGCGGATGCCTGGTATGACCTAGATCAAGATGAAAACACAGCACACCTGAATGTTAAACATCATGAATACATTTTATAGCCAAGCTTGTGGTGTAGCTCCCAGGATGGCAGCATTGGTTTGTGTGTTGACCATGTTGATTATGTTGATTCTGACTAAGACATCTTAAAAACTGTACAGATACCCTTGGAGCCCAGAGAATAAATCCTGATGTTTCTGGTGACCATTGAACCTTTCTCTAGAAGCTACCAGAAAGCTAACCTTGCTTAGCCATTCCAATCTGCATTACAGAATTGTCCAGCTGCGCTACATTCTGATTCTGTTGTCGGGGTAACAAACAATCTCTTCAGACCATTTAAAATCGTATTTGGTTAAGCTAAGAAAAGGATGGGTTTCCTCAAAAAACGCATCCTTTGTAGAACATTGCTGCACCCTACAAGTGACATTGTTGTGGCGGTACATACATCTTTCACTGAAAAAAAAAAACAGCAGAGGGGGTTTAGCTAATAAAGAAACACCAAGACAAAGACTTCTGTGTCACCCAATGACTGCAGGGAGACAAGCACTGTCACTAAAATGGACAATCCACCACAAAAAAACTAGCAGAGCTGCCTTACTGCACAATTCAAATTTTCTGTTAAACTTTAAATTTTCATTGTGATCAGTGGTTTCTCGAAGGCTGTCATTTCTCATAGAGAGGTGGATTTTGAAAACGGTAACGCGAAGATGGGGAGGAGTGATGGGCTTATACCCACAGTCAACATCCGGTGAGTCAGACTATCAGAAGGTTAACATTTGTGGTTTTGACTGAAACCCAACAGCTCCTGTACGAGCAGCCATGTCATTTTCTAAAGTCATTCGTGACACACTTTAACTGTAATGAATTTCTCAGTCATCCAGATCATGGTAATCCCAAGGGCCTCAGTCGAAAGGAACTGGACTTTTATTTAGTTTTCTTATTACTTTTTACCTCTCATCATCCTCTCAGTTCTCACTGATTGTTGTGGTGTGAACTGCCTGGGAAGTGACGTTAGAACTGCATTGCATTTGGCTGTTAGGTGATGCTGTAGGCCTCCTCCCCTAGTTAGAGATGGCAGGTCCAGTTTAAGCCTGGATTATACTCCACTGTGAACACACACACTGATTTCTAGAACATCCCCAAAAGATCCTCAAAATATTGCAGGTACAATGTTGTTTATATATCATATTACAGGAGCCTTTTATAAAACAATGTTCTGTCATCTGAGGCCTCGATAACATCTTAAAAACATTTTTTGAAGGTTGGTTTCTTCCTTTCTTTCTTTGTACATAATCTGGTGCCTGACAACACCCTCCAAACATCTTTTTAAGGTTTCTGCTAAAAGGTTGTGTCTTTTTTATGAAGACTGTTTTTTGCAAAGACAAATATCTTCAAAATGCTCTTTAAACGTTGGATTAATGCTCCAAAACGATGATACAAACTTGTAGGTGATGTTAGGCAATGCTGTGTGAACGTTCCCTGCTAGCTGGGTTGAGTCATGAGAGTCTCAGGTCATTGGAAGCAAGAAGCTGGAAATTAGAACCAAGGAAGCTTCTTGGATGAGAGGTTGAACGTCTCTAGGAACCAAAACGAAGCTCAGCTGCGTTTCACTGACAAAGTTATTGTCAGCATGTGGTCCCATATGGTCGTGCGGTTAAGATCCTGGGTTTCCACCCACGATAGCCTGGGTTCAACTCCCGGTATGGAAAATTGGATCTTTCGTTTCTTTCTTTCTGGAATATTAAGGTTCTGTTTTCTCTTTAGACAGTTAGCATGTGTTTGACGTAATGTCCCTCTGTTTCCTACTGCAGCCTTTCCCTTTGTTGTGAATAAGCTTCAGCATACATGGGAGATCACTGGAACAGTGTAGCTTTGAACGGTCAAAACCACTTTATTTGTTCCCCATTTACAAAAACGAACACCAGACAGCTAGCGGTTGTGAGGAGATTTTCAGGTAATCTGACACAAAGTGTATTGGATCAGAATCACACACTCCAGCTTTAAATAAATTTAACAGCATAGATGCGTTCTTTGATTCAAGTCATTAGTCATAGCTCTGTAATGTTTATATGAAGTACTAAATACAGGACTTAAAAATAAGCTGGAGACAAGTCTAAAACTGGGGTTAAACTATATCTAAACAAACTCAGCTAATCTGCTTCTTTAAATGTTGTTGATGGGCCTTTAGGAGATTTAGCTGACCGTGACGAACCAAAATTGAGTAACACCCCATCATTACTGTATTGAATTATGTAAGTTAAACCCCATTCTCAAAAATCTCAAATAAAACAGCCAGGATGGACACATAGGGAAGTGGTGAGAACGTACTAACCGCCTGGCTAAGTAGCTGGTCGGACCAAAACAGCAACTCCAGGGCTGAAAAATACCTTAAGTACCAAATACTGCAGTTCCTTGAATGACCACATGAGGCCGACTCCAGCAGTGACTTAACCTCCATTAACCTCCAGGTTAAAATGTCCAACTTCACTGCAGAAATAAACATGTCTGCGGCCTGGTACGATAACTAGTTTTGGTCTCTAAAATGTATTTCCCCGTTCATGACAACGGTACAGTGGTTGGATTTTTATATGACTCACAGATTTAAGTTGTATTAAGTCCTAAAGCTAAGCATAATTAGCCCCCTTCACACTCAACCTCTTAGCTCATTTTTGGATTAGATGATTCAAACCTGTTGGTGACATTACAGATAGTTAGTCCATCTCTTCTTTATATACAATCCCTGGTTTTAACGCTGCGATCAGAGGATACATTGTTTATTGCTAGTAGCATCAAAAACCAAGTCTTGGTCAGGCAACATAGTACTGTTAGTTTCATTCCTTTTTTAAACTGATGTGCTTTATCTTGACAAGCCTGTTCATATGGTTGTCTCACCAGTCTGCCCAGTGTTTGCTTTTTTTTTTGTTTGTTTGTGGTGTGTTCGCCTTAGCGGTTCTGTTCTGACCAGGCCCTCCCTGAGCCTGGTTCTACTTGAAGTTTCTTCGTTAAAAGGTAGTTTTTTCTTTCCACTGTAGCCAGCTTGCTTGCTCAGTTTTCTGGGTTTTCCGTGGACAATTTCAGAATCAGCTTTCTCGGCTAAGTATGTGAACACACACAAGGAATTTAACTTTAGTGTTCTTTCTCTCAAAGTACTTGCATAAAATATAACGCAGGTATTTAACAACAAGGGCAACGGGTTGCAGAAGGAAAATGATTGTTCAGCTACTATAACTATAGATATGTGAAAAGAGAAGTTTAAATTGTAGTTTTAAAGCAAAATTACAGCGAACTAAAAGTCTGCAACTTTGTAGTAAAATTATATTTTCACTTTTATAGCATATGGTCTGTGGCCTTAATATTTAAAGTTGTTGGGTACATGTGTAAGGTCAGTCTTGTTTCTCTTTTGGAAAGCACATTTGCGGGTGTTTTAAATGTGCTGTATAAATAATGGTGATATTTTCATGTTGATATAATTTATAAATGCACCTAAAGTGGGTTTGGACTGTGTGCAACAAACATGAGAAATCCAGTTCCTCACATGTGTAGGTGTTCATTTCTGTGCAGGCTGCACGGGTGAACATGTGTCCATTCTGACAACATCCGACAGATCACAGAAATCAAGCTAATTTTTACAGTGATTGACACATTGTGAGCTGAGCCAGTTTAAACATCGTGAATAAGCTCCCTGCCAGACTTGCTGTCCCTCTAACAACCAGCTCAGCTCAGCCTCCACTCCCAGCCCCTACCGGCCCTGTAGGCTTCCCCCCCTCTTCAGCAGTGTTAGTGGGTTACAGCTTCACCAAGCAACAGTAGAATCAGACAGTAGAAGCCAAGCAGAGCGATGCAGCGCAGCACGACAGGCGGCAGAAACAGGGAGAAAGAGTTGATTGTGGGTTGTAGGAGGAGAGGGTTCACACAGATTCATTGAGGCGTGTTAACAGGTGTGTATCTGTGTGTGTGTAGCCGCCTACCTTCAGGTCCCTCCTCTCCAGGTGCAGCAGCTCCGAGCCTCGGATGTCGTGTCGCGTGAAGGTGTCCCTGTACTCCCCCAGACTCAGCTGCTCCAGCCAGACGCCCACCTCCTCTGTGCCCCATCTCTCCACTGCACGAACACACACAAACACGCATACACACAAACACGCACACATATATACAAACACACACAGAGCAGAAAGAGGCTCAGAGCGCCTCACAGGTTTGCACACACATCTGTCACACTCCCACTTGCATGTTCTCAAGCCGTGTTTCCATAAAACCATCAAGCAAACTTCACAAAAATTAAACAACTATTTTGGCTTGTTTTTATTTGCTGCTTTTTAGTCTGATCAGAAGGTGGCGCTACAGGCTACAGGCTACAGGCTGTAAATAATTGAGTAGAAGGAGCTGGAAACAAAGCCAGCAGTACATTCCAATATCCACACGACTAGAAAAAGATTTAGCAGGTGATGTTCGACTTTATCCTGTCAGACTTTTCTTGCCATCCTTACCCACAATCCTCCGCACAGTTACGTCACATGTCTAGCGTGAGTATGAACAAGTTTGATGACGCAGATTCCGCACAACAGACTGCGACGGTCAACGTTTAATGTGCAAATTGAACTGGGAAAGTAGCAGTTGTCTGCAAACTGCATGAAACTACACAAACTTTTTGAGGGCAGCTGCACTGAAAGTAAAAAGAAGAAATATGCACACTGGAGCACAGCCCAAGCTGTTTACATTTTCTTTTACCTGTAAGTACAGCTGCCCATAGAAAGTATGTACTGTGTCAGTATGCATACAGTTGAGACTTTCTAGATATGCAGTCTGCAGTGTGGATGCACCCATCTGTCCAATCTGTGCAGCTTAAGCTTGTTACTCGAGTGAGATGCATGATTTATGGGATGTATCCTCCAACAATTGTGGGTCAGAATGTCCAGAAGACATGTGGAGACTCTTTGGTCTTTGTTGTCCCAAGTGCTTCATTAAAAGGCAGCTGAAGTTCTCTTTTTGGTTCTTTAAGATGTTTCTTAAACATCGTCTGAAAGACTTCTTCAGGTCACAACCGGAAAAAACAAGTCCAGTTGCCTTCTACTGAAGCATTTAGGAATGACCAGAAATGCATACATACTGCAGAATGCAACCGGATGTGGCAGGACATCCTGGTATTTTTGGCACACTGCATTTGACATACTATGCTTTGGGACATAAAAAATCGTTTACTGACATAATATATAGTTTGGCTGTATAGGTTTTGGCACACAAGCCAGTTGTTTTCCAACCGCTTAAGAAAACTTAAGCAGAAGGAAGCAACAACATTTGGGCAATTTACAGGAGAAAAATGGAAAGATTCCTTCAGGAATTGTTTTAAATCGGGAAAGTTGTAATTATTCGGACATTTTTCAGGATGTCTGGAGACAAAGACAAAAAAATAAACAGCTGATCAGTCGTGTGTGTTCAATGTTTGCCTCTTCAGAACCTATTTAGAATTGGTGCATCTCTTGTTATATGAATTATACGCAACTCGTTTTCAAATAAACTACAAAAAAAGAACACCTCAAGCAAGCATAAAACATTTTTCCTAATATTATACAATTTTTTTCTTCCTTTTTTAAGGATTTTTAAAAATCAGACCCTTACCTTATTGCACATGTTAATGCCCACAATGTATGATCATGTGACAGATAAAAACTCTCGAAATCTCAACAGTGCACACAACAACACACTATGGAAACACGGCTACACATATGAATATGTAATCACACACACACACAAACTCACGAATGGGCAACAAATCGTGGTGAACCATTGAAGGAAAAGATGGCGGGAAAATGAAAAAGGTAGGAGAGAGAGCAGTGGCAGCAGCCGGCGGAGGAGGAAGGAGTATGACGGAGGCCAAAGGTTGGTTTAGAACAAGGCCGGAATCATGCACACCATTGATTAATGTCAGAGCAAACAGAAAAAAGTCATAGGGGAAGGGAAGCCTGTGCAGGAAATAGAGCCCAATGAATGAGGAACCAGCCCGCGATGACAGGAAGGCTGCTGCATTCCTATGATTCCCTTTACTGTTTAAACATAGACCCACTGAGTTAGCCTGCAGCAGCACTAAATAAGAGCAACTGGAATGACTTCTGCAACAAAAATGTGATGATTCTGCCCCCTGCAGGCTTTTCCTTGCTGCACAGACTCCTGACTCTCTGAACACATGTTGACAGCTGGATGTGAATGGAGGGGAGTCGATGGTTGGGGTCACACTGTGGGATGCAACACCTCAAACGCACATCTCGGTGTTTCTATCGTGGGGGGGGAACCCCAATGTGGTGACACCTTCACGCATGAAGAGCAACATGATGGCGGTGAACGGTAACCATGGCGACTCTGGAAGGAGCCATGTTGGATTTTTGTGCTCAAACGAACCGAGGATGGTAGCACCTGCAGCTAATCATCCTCAAGTTTTAATGAACATGTGACGTGTTAACCACAAGATGTGGTTCATGCAGCTGCTACTATCATCCACATGAATGAAACATCACTTTTTTTCTGAATTAAAGTCCATTTTAATGCTATCATCCTTTCCAAAAAAAAAGGCAATAACAGTTATGAAGAGTAAATAAAATCTGAGGCAAACAGAGCAGGCAGTTTTCCTGTTAAATCCCCAGCCTGAGCAGATTTAACCCTCTGAACCCTGAGCACCTTCTGCTGTAGCCAATTTAGATTTATGCTGCATGTGTATGTTGTGTGTGTGTGTGTGTGTGTGTGTGTGGGTGGGGGGAGTGGGTATATCTTTGGTGAGCTTGGTAGCTTGGGTTACCTGCACACCTGTGGGCATAAGTAGCAACCAGCCAGGCAGAGGCTTGATAAGGGAGACACAGGTGATCAGTGTTAGGGATGTGAACCAGGGGAAGCCACACAGCTTTTCAACCGTGCCCGTGTGTGAGACGGTCTGAATGGCTGTTATCGTATTTTTTGTCTTTTTGTATACAAGCTAATTTTCAGGTTGTTCGGCACCCGGCCTTTTGTAGGTGTTTTTAAGATTTGCAAGTTACGTTAAATAAAGTCTTATCCATGGCGGACCTTGTTTTTACGCACCATCATGAGTTGGAAAGCCTTCAAAATCCCTCAAGTGGCATTTTTTGTAGGTAGATTGCTGCTACACCTTCTTTTTTTTCCACACTGTGGGCTCATTTTTCACTTCAATATAAATATAGAAACAGCACAACCATGGCTAGAAGAAGTCAAAACTAAAATATATGTATTTTTGACATGTTATAGTATAACTCATAACAGCAAAGAAAACTGAAGTTGAATTTCTGTGATCATGTGTTGTCATCATATATTATTATTTGTGCAGTTTGACACAGTCGTAATGCCAAAAGTCACAACAAAGTTAAATTTCTTTTAAAATTTGTTTTGCAAAAAGCATGCAACAATCTGGAATCAACATGCAAAACATTTCTCCAAGTTCCTGCAGGTGTTAAAAAAAGGTTGTTCTACATGCTATAGATTTGTATGTCTACAAACTCGCCATTGTATCCCTACTACAAACTCTACAAAGATGTCTCACCATGCTGAATGTATCATCCAACAACTTGCTGACAGTTTCTCCTCTGGATACTATATTTGAACCACGCTGCATTTATTTTGTCAATCCAGCTAGTTTTATTTTCCTCAGTGTCTGTTGTCATCTCCTCTCTGCTCTGTGGAAACACTGCCTGCAGTTCAGCCGAATAGTCTCTGAATTATTATCAGGTGACTGCTGGTCAAAGCTAAGTCAGTTACAGTTGTGCCAAAGAGCACAGAATTCTGTAGCATTTATTTTGTACTGGACTTGAAATGTGATTTGAAGTGTTTATTTTTGCTAAATCTTTAAACAAGACATGAAATAGCTCAATTTTCAAAATGAAATGTCACAACTGAAAACTTCTTTGTGGTCATTTTTCCTAATGGAACCAAACATCACACATAATATGCTCAAGGACGGTTGGAAATATGACTATCTGACGATTCTTTCTGTTTTTTTACAGCATTTAGCTCTGATTAAAGGTGTAATATTGACCATCTTTAAAGTGAAATCATGCCTTTTAAACCTGCTGACAGGTTTAGGGGTTCAGAGGGTTAACCAGTCTGTCCAGTCTGCTCAGCACTGATGGAAAGGTGGACACATCCCTACCTGACTGAGGACTCGACTTCTTGGCGGCCTTCTCCTTCTTGAACTTGGGCACTATGCGAAACATGCTGCTGCGACTGTTTCTCTTGCCGTAACCCAGAGTGTGGTCCTGGTACATAAGCACAGTCAACCTATAGCCTTTCATTTAGCTACTCAACTCTCCCGTTACCTGGAGTCATGCTACACTAAAGACAGACAGCACATTCTCAAAACTTAGCAAGTTTTCTGTGTTGGAAAATGTGATTCGATATGTATCTAAGACAGACAAACACAATGTGCTTCAGCTACTAACTCACATAGAATTGTTATCTTGTATTAAAGTTGATAGGACGGTGGAAAAAGTAAGTGAGCCCTTGGATTAATTCACCTCCTTCAGCAGCAGTTACCTCAAACAGCTGCAGATGAGACCTGCACACATTTTTTCTCACAGAGCTGCTTAAATTTTTTGGACATACAGCACATTATGAGCTGTGTTTTCCTGCTGCATCTCCCTGACTTTGTTTTGAATGTATCTTAATAAACCAGGAATCCATTCACTCCACAGTGATGCCAAGCAGTCGAGGCCCAGCGGCAGCAAAACAGCCCAAATTATGTTGCTGTCGCCACATTGCATGAAGGATACTTTAATGTTGACATGACGCTCCCTTTTTACGTAGTGCTGCAAGTTATTTCTAAACCACACAACCGGAGTTTCATCAGTCCAACATTTTCCCAGCAGCTTTATGGAGGATGCTCGGTCAAGGACTTCATGTTTTCACGATGAGTCCTCTCAGCCTGGAGCTCTTTCTCTGAGTTTCTTTCTAGCCCCAGTGAACAATTTGCTTTTTAAATTAACTAAATGTTCTCATTTTATAGAGTTTGTTTACCTGTTAGCTGATGAATATCTCAGCTCTTTGAAATGAATTTGTAACCTGCTAAAGCTTGATTTAAATCAACCATTCATGGTCATTAGTCTTCTGACGTCTCCTTTCTAGCAACTCTAAACATTTTTTTAAAAATCCAAGAAGCTCTGACTCAGCTAGACTTTAAGTTCTCGTAATGTTTTTGTTTAGTTCCCAGAATGCTCATCTTCAAAGGTGGCAAAACGTTCTCTAAAGACTTTAATAACGTTTGGTGTTTTCATGTTTAGCAGTTGTACGATAACATTCACGTCCTTCCTTTGTTATTATGCAACATTGTGGGAGCGTTTTACAGAAAAACTTTTAATAATGTGTTACCTCAACAACGTCCCACAAAACACCCTCAGAACATTGTAGGACAAATGTTCTGCCTTTGTTAATATGTCACATTACAGGAAGGTTTTCTAAAAATCACTTGATAACATCTGGAAAACATTTTTTTAATGATGGTTTGAGAACATTCCTCCTTTTGCTGTATCTGAATCTGTGGCCCTGATAACATCCTCCAAACATCTCCTGAATGTTGCAGCAAAAAGAGTTTAACCTTTCAGGAGCGTTACTTGAAATGATAAATATCTTAAAAAACATTCTTAAAACATAAAACCCACACCTCCAACATTGTTTAATTAATTTAATCATGACTCCACCATTTTGAGCCTCCTGCTGTCGCTGTCTAAATGATGGAAGAGAACAACATGATGACTTGTCTGATGAAATAGATCTTTTAAGGCATATTTACACGTGACTGCAGATAGTTTGAAAGGCTTCAGTTACTTTTCCCACCACTGCACATGGAGTACGTGCTGATTAGCTAAGCTGTCGTCTATTTTACAGACACATTACACACAGTGTGCATGCATGTGCTTGCTGAGGCCTCTTACCTCCTCGTCATTGGGCTGCAGTATGTGGTACAACCAGGGGATTTCTCCCAGTTTGCCCAGTTCCAGCTCAACAGTCTGCAGAGCGCTGGACAGCTGCTCCTCCTCTGGAGGGTCCAGTTGCTGTAAACAGGGAGAAAAAACTAAATAAGACCCCAAAGTATGCCATTAAAGATGAGCAAAATCATCCTTAAACTTCATAGTATAGTTGAAACAATAAATTCTATAGAAATAAAAAATAAGATTAAACTAACAATATGAAACCTGAATGAAATTCTTGTGCCAGATATTACTTAAAAAAAAACAAAACAAATAACATCACATAAGATATACAGTGTCTAAAAATAGAAAAGCAACACGATTTAGGTATGACACAGAGGAAATAAGTGAGTTAAAATAAGGCGAGTAAGTATAACCACACATGACAAGGAAAGATGTTGCCTGAAAAATGAGATGAACATGAAGTAACACATTGACAATGTTGTATAAGAAAGTGAAATATCACAAATCAAACTCAAATATTACACATGACAAATGAAAGTATGAAATATTGCACATGATGCTACAAAAGAAAGTCATGATTGAAATGATCTGTTATAATAACTCACCAGAGAGACTCGGCCCAGCAGCAGAGACTCGGTCTCGTTGTACAGAGCCTTGACGGTACTGGCCACCTCGATCGCTGTGTTCCTGGTCAGACTCTGAAGAAGGAAAACAGCAGGTATTTAGCATTATATCACACAAACAGTGCACGCATCAGTCATAGAACAATCCCAGAAGCTGGTTTAATCTTAATCTGGCACCTGCTGATCCCAGTTTGCTTCTTATCTCACAGCTGCTTTATTCTATCATGTTCATTTTGAGTTTGTCAGTGGATTTGTTTCTGATCACTTAATGTCACAGTTTTCTGTTTCTGTTTAATCAGAGATTTTCTTTTTTTAATACTCATGTATTCAAAGGTCCAGTTCCAGGATTGGCAGATGGAACAATGATTCTCGGCTTCAGATTGTGGAACCTGTTTATTTTTGGCTGTACTGACCTCTAGTGGCACGTCAGGATTTTCTGTTTTACAAACTTCCACAAAGGCCTTCAACCTAAAACTGCAGCTTCTCAAGAGTGTCTTATGTGTGATTCATGCTAACAGCTAACCTCTGGGAACTTGGGGTGCGTTTTGTTGATGGCGTGAGACGCAGCGTTGACAGCGTGAGCTAACTCCTGCTCCAGAAGCCCGTTGGTCTTCGCAGCCTCGCAAATCCTGCGATCACACAATCAGAGGACACGATTTAGGACTGAATAAAACACACGTGAAACCAGAGCTGATGTTTTCATTGGCAGCACGTTTACCTGGTGATGAGCTCCTCGGCAGCTCTGGCACACATCTGCACCAGCGAGGCCTCCTCCTCCGTGGCCAGATCCACAGACTGCTGAGGGTAGAGGTGAGGACGCAGAGGAGGCTTATCGTACTTCAGCTTGTCCTCCCAAGACTTCAGCGTGTTCTCAAACGCCTGCAGGGAAACATCGCACAAGTAGATATTTTACCTCAAATCATTAGTATCCTTGTGTTCACCCGTTTTTTCCAAAGTTATAAGCTGTACAAGTTTAAAATGGCAACTGTGACATTTTTGCTTGATATTTCCAAAACTATGAGATCATTTAAAAAGAAAAAATGCCCGTTAATCCACTTTCAACACATTAGAGGCTGTTTTAACGACAATATTTCAGAAAGTTATAGCGACCTGTCCAGGGTGTCCCCTGCCTTCGCCCTAAGTCAGCTGGGATAGGCTCCAGCCCCCCATGACCCTAATGAGGATTAAGCGGTGTATAGAAAATGGATGGATATATGTCTACATTTAGAAATGGCTCTTTGTATTTTTATTTGCAGAAGCATTTGGAACTCCAAAACACTACTGGTTCTACATGGATTAAACTATCTAGCAACTTCTTTGTGTTGGTGGTACAACTTGTCATACCTGCTCAATCACTTATGAAAGTTCAAGGTGTATAAACTGTATGACTGACAACATTATTAACATATTTTGATATTAAATATAAATGTATATATGCAGTGGGTTTGTTCCATGTCAAATGATCAGATTTTTGACAATAATTTCTGCACCACAGTCTCTGATTTACCTGAAAACATCTTTATACATATTCATATTATATGCTACACTTATGGCAGAAAATATGGACATTCATAAAGATATTTCTTAATATTGTTTTTTCTTTACAACTTGTCATACCTGCTTAGTCAGCTATGAACTTTAACCCACCCATAATCACCCATAATTCCATCTATTTGTCAGATATTGCATATTCTGAATCAATGACATGATGAGCAACAACAGTGAAAATGTCAGGCTTTTATTTTTATTAGCTCTTTAGATATCGTTGTTCAAACAGCCTCAAATTGCAAAAAATGAAAAGCGCTACATATATGTGAGCTGATGGGCAAAAAAAAGAAAAAGAAAAGGAAGCTATCTCTGAAAGTGTTTGATATATCAGTCCAAAATTTCACAGATATCTTCACAAATATCCATATTTTATGCTATAAACATTTCAGGTAAATCATAGATCAGGGGTGTCCAGTCCTGGTCCTCGAGGGCCACAGTCCTGCATGTTTTAGATGTTTCCCTCTTCCAACACACCTGATTCAAATGATCAGGATCATTATTAGGCTTCTGCAGAGCTTGATGATGAGGAGAAATTGCTATAAAAATGTGATCATGTCCTTACCCGGTCTCTGGTGAGCATCTGCGCTCGGTTCTTGTGCTGGATCTTGATGACTCCCGGCGGCTGGATCCAGGCTTCCCCGTCCACCTGGATGGGAACCCCCTCGTCTCCCAGGATGGTGATCTTCACCGTCCGACACTGATCCATGCAGAAGTTCAGGTTAGATTCACACATTTTTCTCATGTATTTTCACTCCATGCTGTTTTCTTTGCGTCCTCTCACCTGCGCTATGCGATGGTGCTGCAGCTTGATGACTCTGGAAACAGCCATCTGCATGCTGCCGAACACAGCCACCACCTCCAGGATCTTATCATCAAAAGACGGCGCGCAGAAGATCTGCACAATACAATAAAAATAATATTCATGCTATGTATGTGCACATTTTATCTATCGATTTCGTACTATAGTGGATCAGGTTGGTGTTATTTTACATTTTAGGACCCAACAATCCATCTCTTCCAACTTCCCAAACCTGTCTGAGGGTCAAAATCTGTTATTTTATACATTTTTACGAAGTCTCAGCAACGTCCTGAATATTACACAGTGAAACAAATGAACTTTAGTTATCAGATTTTAATGGTAATTTTTTGAACAATTTCCTGATGTTTAGTTAAAATCACAGAAATACAGAATTCATTTAGATGTCAGTTCTTAAAAACAAATAAACATCACATTTTTGTTTGTTTCTGCATTTTCAGAAATGCAAATGTTTTCTTCTAAAACAATGGATTTTTTTTTACTGTTAAAAAATTAGCAAAATGCATTATTATTTTCCACATGTTTGCTGTTATTTAAAAAGAAAAAAAAGTATATTAATGACTTCAAAATGGTTAACATTTTCAGAACTATAAAACTCTGATTATTATTTTTTTTATTTTTCACTTTCTGGCTCTGATAAATGCTTTAATTTTGCTGATTTTTAAAGATAATATGCCTTTCTGGGTTCTGGGGTCCAGAAGGTTAAAACTGGTCAGAAAATGGAGCTTAGATATTTTCCTAAATATAAATACAAAATACTAGGTGCCTTATCCTTTAATGTGACTGTAACAGTAAGGATTTGTGAAGCCACGTCTCTGTCATTATTCTGCTATGTCAGCTCAGTTTAGCTCCAACGAGAAATGAGCTGTTTCTGACAGAAGAGGCTTCACCTGATATTGATCTCTGCCAGCAAACTGTGCATGAAAAGGTCAAAGCAAGTGAGGAGAAAGCATCTGCCCGAGCGCAAAGAGACACTCAGCAAATAAGTCACTGCTTTGAGCTGTCGTGTGGGGAAGCGGCCACTAGATGGACACATTTAGAAAGAAGTCCTGCATATGGAAAGATGCTAATGTGGGATTTCAACTTCAGGTTTTGGGTTCAGTCGTGAATTTTAACAACACATTTCAAGTAACATGTCAGATGTCAGTGCATGCGTGTGCTTGCACCTTGTGTTTAGTTACTGAAACTACACATTTCCATATGTTTACAGACACTTTGTATGTAATGTTGTGCTCTTTTGTAAGCCATACTTTTCGTATATGTTCAGCAATGTGCAACATCCAGAAGTGCAACATCAGTGACACTCCTGTTTTTATACTTCCTAATAAAACAAAGCTCTCTTTTACAGAACAAGCCATCCCTCTGTTTTTATACATACACTTGCACTTACAATTATTTCTTCTTGACAATTAGATTTTCTGTTTGCACATTTCTTTTTATATTGTTCATTTACACTGTGGTGGAATTCTCTGATATACATGTGCCTGCATGGTGACTAAGTTTATCTAAACGCCCTCTCCCTGAAGCTCTGCTTCCTGAAGCTTAAGTACAACAGTTACATAACACCGAATGCACAAACTAAATGCAAGCGTGTGTCCAAGGGTAACCTCTGCAGGGGCTCGCTAAGGGGCGACTGCAAACTGACACTCCGATCCCTCTGCAGCCCTTCTGCTCTGAGTCTTAAACAAACAAGCATGAATATCTATGTAGCCGTCTCCCCCCTCCTCCCCCACCTCCATCTCCAGGTCATCAGGGTTACATCAATCCAGGATGGCCAGATTCTATCTTGCAGAGTAAAAACGCTTCTTCTACTCTGTAAAGATGGTCTGAGTTAGATGCTGAGAACAGACAGAACATCCACTGTACATGTACTCACATCATCCTCCTTGGTGCCGCCCCAGAAGTTGGTTCCTCCTGCGTAGCTGGGAATGTTTAACACGGCGATGCCCTGAAGGCTGGGCAGCGGGATGTACTGACCGTCACACTGGTAAAGATACATAAGCAAAGCTCAGCTGGACCAGTAAGACAAGACAGAAAGGAAGGTACATGTATTTCATTTAAAGTGTTGATTGAAGTAACTGCTGTTGTATGTAAATGTGCAGCAGCTCTTTCTCTCTTTAAAGACTCTTTATGGATCCTGCTGCTGTCTACTGCTGCAGGCATTTAGAGAGAGAGAAAGAAGAAGGTACATGCATGTAAAGTCCTTTTCTGCTACTTTATCAGTCTGTTGAAGTGACGGCATTCTTTCATTCAGTCAGTCACTTGAATGTTGATCCTGTCTCCATGTTGGGGCTATTTTATTGTAATTAGGTATTTATTGAAGACTCTGCTGTAGTATGTAAATGGCAGCAGCTCTCTCTCTCTCTTTTTGAAGACTCTCATATTGGTTCTGCTGCTGCAGGTATTTAATAAACTCAGAGGAAAGACTCCTAAACCCCTGGGAGCCACAAACTAAGCTGTAGCTCCTGTTAGGTCAAAAACCTACAACACTCGGATGCTGTCCCTGTTCTCTTGCAGATGCAGCATAAATCATTTGCAGTGATGGAGGTACTATGGTAAAAGAAAAAGTCCTGCATGAAAAATCGGTTTCTCTCTAATCTTTGCAGTAAGTTGTTGAATCATTGGAACATTTAGTGAAATGTGAGAAGTTTAAGGGAAAATCTCTATTTGGTGGAG